GCCACACAGTGTCAACAGGCCAGTGGTGCCCACCAGGAAACTCAGTCCCAGCTGGACAAACTGCTCTTAGCTGTCCACCACATGATCAGGGACAGCAGGGACTTGGTCACTTGGAGCTCAGGCAAGTGTGGAAGGCTGGGTGAGCAGTGGAGTCAGGGGTGTTCCTGGTCACCCTCATATCACACACTCACCCTGTCAGTTTAGGCTGACTCAGGCCTTGGGAAGTCTTGACAGCTTGACTTCCCTGCAGAGACATGAGTCCATGTTTGTATGTAGAGAAATGACTGAGTCAGAAGGGAGAAGGGACCAAATCCTGTCAAGCCCAGGGCCCATGCACTTGTCTCTGGGGCAGTGCTGACATCAGTGGTTGTCAGACTAATGTCAGCCTGTGACATCCTGCTGCAAGGCGAGCTCTAGGACAATGACAAAGGCACCTCCTCCTAGGTAGAGAGGCCTTGTTTGTTGCACACCACTGGATTAAATCTTGAAATAGAATATCTTCTCTTTTCAGAAGAGGATCATGTCATGGGCCTAACTGCTTCTCAGGCTGGGGATGTCTCCCCAGAGCTCACAGTGGACAGAGTGGCAGCAGCTCTGCAAGACCTGCAACAGCACCTGGAGCATTCCCAGAAAGATCTGGTAATGTGTGCCCAGTGCACCCAGAAATCCTGTCTTGCTGTTGGGCTGCTGCACAAGCACTGTGCCAAGGATGGGTGTCAGTCCTTGTAGGGGGGTTGGTTCACTGCCATGGGGAGCAAAGAGGATCACAATCACATCCAGCAGTACTGCCTAGCTTGCCCTCTCCCACATGGGCTATTTCTGCTTTAGTGTTTGTAGCCCTTTGTCTCCTGCCAGCAGTGGCAATGACAGGTGATTCTGCTCTGCTTGTCTCTTCCAGAATGATGCAAGGAACAGGATACAGGCCTTGGAGCTGGAGCTGGGCACGGGGCAGGATCAGATGGACAATCTTAGAGCCAGCAATCAGGAGCTGCAGATACAGTTGGATGAAAGTCGGGCAGGTACAGCCTCTCTTCTCCCACCCACTGTCCCATGCTGTCTCACCCGTGGGGATTTCACTGTTGTATCGCAGAGGAAAAGTGCCCAGAGATGGCTGAGGAGAAAAACAACCGGCAGGAGATTTCTCCATCCGAGTGGCAGTGAAAGCATTCTCCTGAGAAACATGCTGTGGCTGGCAGTGCCATCTGGCTGTGCTAGGGCTGCTCCCGTGCACAGCTGGTGCCTCTCAGGTGCCGTGTCTGTGCTAAGGAGCTGTAGCTGGATGCCTCAGCTCCATTCCCCCAAACTCCAGGCCCTGCCAGAGCCTCCCGGTGATTGGCCTCTCTGGAGCAGGCCTGCACAGGCATCCCTCTCCTTTTTATCTCTTGAATTGCTCACTCTGCACAAGGCCAAGAGCAAACAGGTTCCTGTTCCTCTGAACCTTGACCCCTTGATTCCCGCCTTTTCCTCTGCCTGGAATTTTCCTTCATTTCTGTCAGCTTTGGAGTCTTTGTGGGCTTAGGGCCTGGCAAACACAAGCAGTTAGAGAAGACAGTGCTGTTGTCTCTGCAGGATGCACATCAGCTTAACTTGAATTTTCTTTTCGTCTTCTCCTTCCCCTTCTCTCCTCTAGCAATGTTGAAGGCAGAACACGAGAAGACCTCTCTAGAAACTGCCTTGAAGGAAGAGACTATTACCCTGAAGGAAGATGCTGTGACTCTTCGTCAGGAGGTGGCATCTCTGAAAAAGAAATTGGAAAACCTGGAGATGGAAAAGACAGATGTGCTGGTGAGATTGGCAGATGCCACGAATTGCCATTTCCTAGCTATGGTTGGGCCTTGTGTTCATAGTTCTAAAGAGCACCTTTTCTCAGTTTAACTTTTGTAATTGCATTCTTCTGAATAAGGAGGAGAAGATGTTGTAGTCATGGCAAAGCCAGTTAATGCTGAGGCTGCTGCTGATTTTCCTCCATGCTGGGCTTTTATGCCCTAGGACCTTTAGTTCTCAATGTCCTCAGTGTCCCTATTGACATTGCATGGTTTGGGGAATTCCTGGTGTCCAATCTCATGTTCAGATTTCTAAATATCTGGATCTGGAAAGAGGGGGAGAGTCCCAAGTTTGCTGTTAATAGAAAGGTGTTTGGCCTTGGCCATGGGAGAGCAGCCAGTGGGGAGAGAGGAGAGGAAAGGCAAGTGCTGATCCCCAGCAGGACGTGTGCCTGCAAGGGGAGAACTCGTCCTGAGTGGCAGCAGAGAATGACAGACTGATGTGGCCATTGCTGCTGCCAGAGAGGGCAGTGGGGCTCTGGGGATGGAGCCATGGAAACTCTACACAGGAGAGGTGGGAAACCACTGCTGTCAGCCCAAGGGCAGGGAATGAAAGGCTGGGGCTGTTTGCTCTTCCCTTCCTCCCTGATGGAGAGCACATCCTCGTGGCACTGCCTGAATCCTGCTTAGTGTGCACTTGCAATCCTGGCTGCAGTTCTGGCAGCTCCTGCCCAAAGGAGCACTGGAGTGGAGCTGCAGGAGGCCAGGGAAGGGCAGAAGGGAAGCTGGGACGGGCTGAGTGAGCTGGGAAAGATGCAGCATCAAGGGGGGCCCAGCAAAGCTCTGCAGCATCCCGAGGGGCAGAGAGAGAGGGGCAGCCTGTGCCTGCCCCTGCAGCAGGAGTCCAGATCTGGTATGAAAAGCAAAGGGAGAGAGGGAATGAGTGACCCTTTTTCTCCTTGTTTTGGCAGCATGAACAGGACAGGCTGCAGGCAGATAAAGAAAAACTAGTGTGTGAGATAAAACTTCTGGAGGAATCAGTCACAGCCTCTGAAACTCGAGCAAATACAGCAATAGACAAGAATCACTCTCTTGAACAAGAACTCCAAACTGCCCTGTCCATGTTAAAAATTAAAAATGAGGAAGTGCAAAACCAGGGGAAGAAAATGGAGATCCTTCAGAAAGAGGCAGCAGAGACCAAAGCTTTGCAGGAGCATCTCACTCATGTGACTGCCATCCTGTCAGAGAGGGAGGGAGAAATGAAGTTGTACCAAGAGCAGATGAGAATGTTGGAAAAGCAGAAAGAAATGCATAAAACTGCTCTTAATCAGGTTATTAAGGACATAACAGAGAAAGAACAGAAGACAGAATCCCAACAGGAACAGATACAGGAGCTGGAGAAGCAGCAAGAAAAGCAAAGGATTGTTTTAAGCAAAATGAGCCAAGAGCTGGAAGAGAAGGACCAAGAGATCAGGTCCCAGCAAGAGCTGATAAGGGAGCTGGAGAAGCAGTTAGAATTGCAGAACTCTGCTGTCAGCAGGGTAAGCAAAGAGCTGGAGGACAGACACCTGGAGATCAAATTCCAGGAGGAGAAAATAATGATTCTAGAACAGCATGGTGCAGTACAAGTCAGAAATCTGCTTGTGGATCTTGATGATATGAAAGGAAACCTGAAGGAGAAAGGGTTGGAGCTTCTTTCTCTGACTCAGCAGATTCAAGAACTGGAAAAGGAGAGAGAAGATGTGAAATCTCTAAATGCTAGCCTTGAGCACCTGAGAATTGTTCTTAAGGACAGAGAGAGTGAGTGTGATGCTCAAAGGGAAGAGTTAAGGCTCTTGCAGCAGCACAAGGAACAGCAAGACAGGCATCTGCAAGAGCTTCTTGATAAAGTAGAAAACATGACACTTTCTTTATCTAAAAAAGAGCAAGAGCTTGAGTCACAGCAAAAGCAAATGCAAGAAATTGAAGAAGTGATGGAAATGCAGTTAAAGACTGTCCGTGACCAACTGGAGCAGACCTTAGCAACCTTAAAAGAAAAAGACAGACTTATGGACATCCAAAAGCAACAAACAAGGAGCTATGAGGAAAAAAAAGAAGAACAGATTAATGTCTTGCACAGAGACTTAGAATACTCTCGAACAATATTGAAAGAAAAGGATTTAATGATTGAATCTCAGAAGGAACTGATTGAGACCTTCCAAAAGCAAAAGCAAGACTCTGAACAGCAGAAGCAAATTCTGCATTGTCTTCAAGTGGAACTAAAGGAAAAAGAGCAGGAAATTTTGTGCCTTAGAAAGCAATGTGAGGCATGCAAGGAAAAGGAGGAAAAGCATGAAGCTGAGCATAGAAATTTCCATGCAACAACACTGAGTCTGAAAGAAAAAGAAGACAAGATTTGTGTTCTGGAGGACACCATCACAAAGCTTCAACAGCAGAAGGAAGAGACAGCAGTGCAGGCTAAAGCCATACTGCAAAAACTAGAATATGCTGAGTCTTGTCTTGAAGCTAAACATCAAGAGATAGTGTCTTTGCAAGAGCATGTCCAGGACCTTCAAGAGCAGAAGGAGGTGGCAGGCAAGCAGGCCAAAAGTCTAGAGCAGGATCTAGACAAAGCAAGCCAGATGTTGAAGAAGAACCATTTGGAGTTCCTCAAGCAGACAGAGCAAATGAACACGTTCCAGCTTCGTGAAGAAAGCATGAAAGTAGCACTAACATCATGCCAGAAACAAGTGACTCTACTTGAGGAAGTGGTGAGGAAGAAAGATGAGGACAATGACACTCTTAGGCAAAATCTACAGCATGTAGAAGAAGAACTGAAGACTTTGCAGAATCTCCAGCTTAGGCTAACTGAGAAGAATGAAGGGGTTAGACATGATGGAGAGCAAGAGTTCCTGAAAGAAACCTTCCCTGAGAGAGAAGGAGAGATCAGGGCTCAAAGTGAGCGGAAGCAGATAGAAGTGGAAATAAGAGCTCTTCGGGAAGATCTCCAGCATGTTCAGCAGACTCTGACAAAGAAGGATAAAGAGGTCAAGTACCAGACAGACAAAGTCAAGTATTTAAAGAAGACTCTAATAGAGAGAGAACAAGAGCTTAGGAGGCAGAGTGAACTCCTGAAAGAATTAACATTGGCTTTGCGATGGAAAGATGAAGGGGAAACCCTGAAGAAACAAATCCAAAAACTCCAAAAATGGGAGGAAGAGGAAGCAGAGAAGAGGAAAATTCTCCAGGAGAGGGACTATCTCTTGCAAAGGCAGAAGGAAATTGCCCAACAGTTAGAAGTTGAGAGGGAAGCCAATGGCAAAGACCTGGAGTGTGTGGCTGCTTCTTTGAAGCAGAGGGAAAGCAGAGAACATGAATGGAGAGAGAACGCTCAAGTCCTGAGTGCTGCACTGAGCAAGAGTGAAGTGGCCAATGGGAATCTGAAGAAGGAGATAACCGTCCTGCAGAGAATGATTTCAGAGAGAGACACAGACCGATTTCGTCAACAGGCAGGCACTGGCACTGACCTTCAGTCCACTCCAGTGTCCCCGAATTATTCCAGAGATGTTTCCCAAGAAGAGGTGGGTCTCTATCCCTGTCAGTGCAGGCCTGCTTGGGTAAAGCAGCCTGGGCTGCAGCAGGCAGCCTTGTCTGTGTGTCTGGCTCCAGCCAGAGGCCATTGACTGCCAGATTGTTTCCTGGCACACCCAGAATGGCTGATCCAGCTCTGGAGCTTGCTGTTCAAACCAGCTCTCGGCCAAAAGCTGGGCATGGGGAGCTGCTTCTCCTGTGCCCACAAAAGGGGAGGCAACACGTAGGGGTTTGGAATTGGTGTGGGAAGGAATGGAGCAGGTGAGCAGAGTGGTGGACTAAAGTGAGCTGAGTTTTGTACTGAGGGGGCTGAACAGGAGCTGCACTGCTGGTGCTTTGAGGATGCTTCCTGAGATGGAGATTTCTGAGGGGCAGTTTTTCCTGTGTGTTAAAAGAATGGGATTTCTTTTATTGCCTGGTCAGATTAAATGCTTTATTTTGCATTCAGGAAATGTTTGTTCTGCAATTCAAAAATCACAGAGGCAAACTTGTGTGTATTTTTCCAAAGTGGACTTAGTCAGATCCTGCTAGTGGAACAGTTGCAATAGCCTATGCTGCAGCTTTGCCAAGAATTTGCCTGTATTCTGGTGTCCGTTAGTATATTGGCATGTAAAAAGTGCTACTAAGAAAACACTGTATTTATGCATTATATATATTTACTTATGACTTAAGAAATATTACTTGCAGCCTGATCCGGGATGCTGACAAGTATTGAGATCTGTTGATGGGAAGTAAAGATGTGACAAGGGCAAGAAATGTGAAAAGAGCATGAGATTTCAGTTACATCCATGTAGGTCAGGTATGCAAGAACATTCAGTCAGGTAATGCAGTGGCATCCACACAGATATTTGTTTACTGCTGATACCAAGACTGCATTTATAGGTGCTCCAAGGAGCAGTTCGTGAAGAAAGGCACAAAGGAGAAGGAGGAGGTGGCTCCTGACTAAGTTCCAAGCAATGCTTATGGCCTGATTGATAACGTGGTATTTTCAAAGAGCAGTTCTGTATGAGGATGTGACAGGTAAAGAGAATAGAGAAAAAAAACTGCACTGTTTTATCACTGCAGAAATGCATGCTTCACCCACATCTTGCACATTTGGTTGTCTAAGGACAGAGAGCAGAACTGTAGGTAAGAAATTTACAGTGATGATCAAAAAGGATGACCAAACATGGTAATTAACTTCCCCAAGGGGAGTAAATGTTTAAGTATTCCCAACTGAGAGGAAATGGCTGAGAGAGACAGAGGTGGAGTTACTACAGAGCTTTGTAAAACCATGAAATGGCTGGATAGGAAATTAATGCTTCCAGTGTCTGAAAACCAGAATGGGGAACACTGAAAAAAAACTAGCAGGAAGCAGATCCAGAGCAAAGTACTCAATTCTCCAAGGGGATTTGGAGGAGGGTCCCTAGAGAGAGGGTGTGTTGTTTTGGCCTATGGACAAGGAGAAGGCCCTTAGCACTGTGCATTCCTGCTGTGGTCACTCTCCCCACTGTATCAATTCTGACACCCTTCTAACCTTTATGTGGCACCAGCTCATGGCATCTCCTTTCTGAATGCCCAGCAGGCTCTTGCTGAAGGGGAGCAGCTGTCGTGGCTGTCAGAGAAGAGACTCATGTTGCAGAGCCTGGAATGTCTGCAGCGAGCAGTTGCAAAGCTGGAAGATGAAAAGGTGGAGCTCAACCAACAAAACACTGAACTCAGGAGGACTCTTGAGCAGGTAAATTGGGCTTTGACTGCCTCTGCACAGCCTCAGGCTCCTCTGGAACTTGGCACCTTAGGCCAGGCAGTGCTTTGGAGACCTCTGCTTGTTCCCTTGCCTCTCCCTGTCCCTGCTGTGGCCCAGCCCTTTGTTTGTTCTCTCTCTTGTGGCAGCCCATGGCTTTCACAAGGGCACCTTCACTGCGCTGCCTCCCTCCCTGGCCCCGTGTCCCTGCACACACACACTGGCCTCTCTTGCACAGCCTCCAGCGAGAGCTTTTTGCCCCCAGTGTGGTCTGGTGCAGTTCAGGGTCTCAGAGTTGGTCTCTCCTTGCCTTGATGTCCAGAGGTGCTTTTGCTCCATGTTTGCTGACAGCTTTCTGTGACCCTCTCTCCCATCCACTGTGCAGGTGGAACACGAACGGAGGAGACTGAAGAGATGTTTTAGGGGTCGGTTACTCCCAGATGCCTCTGGATTTTCCCTCTCTGAGTCTGACCAGTGCAAGTCGCCCACTTCCAGACAGGTGAGAACATTTTCTTTGGTATGAGGAGGCTTTGGTCATACAGAGGAATGATGAAAAATCCCAGTGGCAGCAGCCCTCCAGTAGAGACCTAACAGAAGTCAAATATTCCCTGTGGTTGTGACCAAACAGACTGAAAGAGCATCCTTTCCTTTTCTTCACAGGAGGAGTCTCATGCTCACTGCAGTCAGCGCTTAGCTGAGTTACAGAACCAGGTGAGGAGTAGGAAAACTTTCCTCCAAAGGCTGCTGTGGCTCTACTCATGGGCACAGCTGTGCCTGCTGCTACAGCCTGAGTTGTGTTTGGCTCTCAGGAAGCGAGTACAGCAGATGTTGTCAGTTGTGCACCTGTTGGCAACAGGTGCACATCCTTTTCCTTGGTCTTGTCTCTGACTTGTCTAGATCAGGCAGTGGGGGAGAGAGATAGGATGAAATTCAGAGCACTGGAAGTTATCTGAAAATATCAGAACCATAGAATCATAAAATGCTTAAGGTTGGAAAAGCCCTCTTAGATAATCTAATCCAACTATTAAGCCAGATTGTCAATCCCAGCACTAAACCATGGCCCGAAGTGCCATAGCCACATGTTTTCTGAACACTTCCAGAGACAGTGATTCCACTACTTCCCTGGGCAGTCTGGACCAGGATGTTCTCCTTTGTTGCCTGTTTCCATTTTCCCTTGACTCTGTAACAGTGGAGCTTGCATTTTAGCAGAAATCCAGGGACCTGAGACAATGCCAGAGGTTTATCATTCCACCGGGCTTAGTTGTCCACATTGTGCTCTGCTCCTGTATGGAGAGCTCTGAAGTTGGGGAGAGGGAGAGTTTGTGCCCTGTCCAGCAGCTCAAGTAGAAGAGTCCTCCAGTAGCTCAGGGGAGCAGCAGCCCTCGTGCTGAGGCACAGCCTGTGGAGAAAGGGGTCAGTGGCCCAAATGTGTGCTTTGGAAATCAGATCTGGGTTCCTAAATCCCATTGGGAGTCTCAGTAATGGACCTGTGGTGGCTGAGGGATGTAGGTGGGAAGGGTTTGGCAGCCTTGAGCTGGACTTGTTGATGCTCTGAGCTCTGTTGTGTGTGGGAGCCTGTTCCTTTCCCCTTGCCCAAGGGCAGAGTGTTGGTGAGGGCTGGAGTTGGAGGCTGTGTGTGCCCCGAGAGCCGGTACCGTGGGGCTGCAGGTGCTCCTGCCAGCGTGGGCTTGTCTGAGCGGGGCCTTGTGCCTCTTTCAGGTGTCCCTGCTGCAGTCACAGCTGGCCCAAGAGCGACAGCAGTGTCAGAATTACATTGAGAGCTGTGCAAGGACCAGCCAGGAGCTGTCAGACCTTCACCAGGAGCTGTGCTGCTCCTTTGCAGCTGTGCTCAAGGAGCCCGAAGTTGCTGTTCTGGAAGAAGAGACGCGGAAGCTGGATCTGTCTCTGAACCTTAACTCTGCACTGACATCCTTGGACCATCAGTCTCTGGAGAGACAGCTGGAGCATCCAAGAGCCAGACCTGCCAGAAGCAATGATGACCTGAGGTAACAGCACCTCTGGTCTCCATTTGAATGGAACAATTTCTCCTAAGACAAAGAGCTCATGGATGTGAGAAATGGGGTCAGCTCCTCAGGACAGGGCTACTCCCTGCCTTAAACATCCGTTGGTCTCACATTCAGCTGGTGTCAAACCTCACCTCATGTTGAGGATTAGAATCTACGAAACATTATTTCATGAAGTAGATGATTTCTGGGACCAAAATGTGAATATGTGAGAACAGCATAGGTAAGGAGAAGGAATGATGCATGGAGAATGAAGCTGGAACAAAAAAAAATAATACTTGAACAGTAAGACTTATGGGTGACATCTGTCTGAGGGCAGCTACTTAAAATAAAAGGACACAAAGAGTGTGCTACAAACAATTAAAGTAACATAACAGTTGGTGGTGTTTGCATTTGCAGGCATCTCCCAGGGATGATTTGATTTTTTTTAATAAAATGTTTTTCAGAAGAAAATTATACTCATTTTCACTGCCACAGTGCGGCTACTGCAAGCTCTTACACAATTTCCCTTCTTGAGGGCAGAGGTGTTCCCTGAAACAAGTAACGAGAATTTGAGGTGTTAAAAAACAAAGGAGTGAAGAGTGCACAGCAGGGATCAAAGTTCAGTGAGAAATGAGGCTGCCCTTCCCTTCTCCCTTTTCTTCCCTTTTTCCCTCCAAAGCACTGATGGCTTTGCCCCAACAGCAACCCCAGGGACAGCTCAGCTGCTCTCCACAGGCTGTCAGTGCCCAGCTCCAGCCCTGCCCGAGGCCACAGATGCGTGGGGAGGGTGTCCTGGTCAATGGTTAAACTGAAAATCACAGACAAAGACTCTCTAACTCATCAAAGTTAGAAAGTGTTATGTTTATCACACTGCTGGGTGGCACCGTGGGGATCGTCCCCAAAATGCGTGACCGTGCTGCACGAGGATTCTTGCCTTCCATTTATTTCCCAAAATAATACATATGTGTACCCCCAGCACCTCCCATCCCCGCTTTGTATTAAAATGAGTTTATTAGTCCTTCATGCCTGGGAAATTCTTCCCTTGAATTGGGTGGGTGATGTCAAACTGGGTCAGTGGTCCCAGGGATTAAGTCAGGAAAACCCGGTCAGGTCTCTGGGACCCTCTGACACAATCCAAGCCCCTCTGCTTCATGATGGATTGACACAGAGTCCAGGTGATGGGCATTGTCCTACTGGTTTCAATAATGGTTCCTACAATGGTTCCCCTGCTCCACTTCCTTCTACAAATTAGTTCATTGTGGCCGCAGCTCTCTTCACAGAGAGCAGCAGGCACAACTTCCCAAGGATTTTTCCTGAGGAAGGCAGTGAGAACCTCAGAGAAGAAGAGAAAACAATTCTTCTCTCTAGTCACTGCTCCTGTTGTTTTTGCACATGTGGAATGTGTTATGGACATTGTTTACCAAAAGTGATTTGGTTAATTGGATGCCAGTGAAAGTTGGCAAATCAGTCAGTCAGTTGGCAAAGCCAATCAGTCAAAGCTCTGTCCTGGCTGTCTCAAACAGTCATGGGTTTTTCTTTATTAGTATAGTAATAGTAATAGTATAGTAATAATTATAGTATAGTACAGTATAGTACAGTATCTTTTTAGTATGTAATTTAATATAGTATTAGTGTAATATAGTATAGCTTAATAAAGCAATTGTTCAGCATTCTGAATCATGGAGTCAGAGCACATTACTCCTTGCCAGGGGCTTGCCTTTCTACCATAGCTCATAATATAACAATTAGCTTTAGCATCTAATAATCATTAACTTATTGTTGGTGTATCTAACTTAATATGAATTGGTTCTAACCCTCAGCTAAAATCTTAACCCTTTAAAATCATGATTCACTGGGCAGAGGGAGCTGCTCTCCACAGTGGCTGAATCTCCTCTTTCCTATGCTGCCCACACTGCTGGGAATGCAGCCCAGGACATGGGTACTTTCTGGGCCAGTGCAGGTAGAGGTGTCCTCTGACTCTTATCCTGTCAGAGTCTTATCCTCTTAGCTTACTTGTCAGCCCAGCAACCCTGTATCTGCAGGGTCTCTAGGTCATCTCTAGGGTCTCTGAGGAGCTGGCCAGGCTTAAACACAGATGAGGGAAGCTGGAATCCCCTGCTTGGTGCCCTCATTCAGCTGCTTTCCTGCCCTAAACTCTTTCTAGTTCCCCCAGGATGTGACAGATTGCAGGGAGGAAGAGTGGAGCAGGATGTGGCTGGGGCGATGTCTCACCTCTCACCACCAAGTCCAGGGTGTTGCTGACAGCAGACCATTCTTTCCAACCCTTCATGCACTGGCAGCTGTAGCGGCCGCTGTGACCTTTCTGCAC